ACTGATGGTGTGGAACCTGTTTGGTATTCTCTCTCCCTCCCTTTCTCTACTTGGGATTCTCTCCTCTGTCTCTGCCCTTCCCCTACTCACTCGCTCACATATACTTTCTCTCTGTCAAAAATAACTAACTGTTAAAAAAAAGAAAATATGGACAAAGAAATGGATAAACATTTAGGTAAATCTAAGCCAACATGAAAACAACAATAATAATAAAGTCTGGTAATTAAAAGCCATGTGAATAGTGAGTTTTATTTCCCCACAAAACTAAACAGTTTATTATGTACTTAATTATATTACCACTTAGTTTTAATTGTCTTTTGTTCACCTGTGCCTTGTAAAACAATCAGAAAAACAATGTTAAAGCACTTTAGTAAAAGATTTACTTGTTTTACTCCAAATTATACCCTGGTAAGCATAACAAAAGTTGGGGTGGGTTTTTAGTTTACAATGAAATATCCATAAGTATCTCTAAGAAGAAAACACACTCCTCTGTGCACGTTCTCTACTCTCACACAACTCTGCTGCACATCACTGCATCTGAAACTAGATGTGTGCATTTTCCACCCATTAAGCAATTCTGTGACACCAGATTGGTCCTACAATTTAACTCAATTCTGACACTACCTACCAGAAGATGGCACGTCAGACCTCACAGATTAAGGGTTCGGTTCCCTAAGAGTGCTCCACTCTCTCACCCAACTTCAGACACCAATCAAAAGTTCAGGTTGTCACCTGTGCTTCTGACCAACCTGCCAAATAATTCAGAAGTCCCTACAACCCCCTGTTATGGTTTGATAATTTGCTAGAGCAGCTCAGATAACTCAGAAAACAGTTTACTTACTAGATTAGTGGTTTACTATAAAAGGACTTAACTCAGGAGTAGCCAGATGGAAGACATGCACAGGGCAAGGTATGTGGGAGGACACCAAGTTTCCTTGCCCTCTCTGGGCATGCCCCTTTCCCAGTACCTGCACGTATTCACCAACCTGGAAAGTCTCCAAACCCCACCCCCTTTTTTTATGGAGGTTTCATTACAGAGGCACAATTGATTAAATCATTGGCCGTTGGCTATTGACGATGAACACAATCTCCAGCACCCCCCACTTCCCCAGAGGTGAGGGGGATGAAGCTGAAAGTTCCAACCCTGTAATCAATCACGGTTGGTTCCACTGGTAACCAGCCCCCATCCTTAGGTGCTTTCCAAAGGCCTCCTCATTAATATAAACACAGGTGTGGTTGAAGGGGCTTGTTGTCAATAACAAAGGACACTTTTGTGTCTGACTCTTATCACTTAGAAAATTCTAAGGGTTTTGGGAGCTCTGTGCCAAGAACAAGACCAAGACCAAACGTATATTTTTTTATTATAAATCACAATCTCACAATACTTCTGATTGCAAAAAATATATATCTTGTTGATCCTGAGCATTCAGTTATGTGAGTTCTATTATTTACCAGGGATTTCCAATTTAGGGTGAAGTGGGAAAGACATATTTTATTGCAGTTTATAGTTGTGAAAATTTTATCCCCCAAAACACTGGAGGTTCAGAGCCTTTGTTTCTCCCAACCCACATGGTGGTGACTTTTTACCACTAGGAGACTTATGGACCACTCTGACTGACAAGCAAAAGTAGAATTATTTTATACTATTAAAAAAAATTTTTTTTCAATGTTTGTTTATTTTTGAGAGAGAGGAGACAGAGCATGAGCGGAGAGGAGCAGAGAGAGAGAGGGAGACACAGAATCTGAAGCAGGCTCCAGACTCCAAGCTGTAAGAATAGAGCTCAAAGTGGGGCTTGAACTCATGGACTGCGAGATCATGACCTGAGCTGAAATCGGACACTTAACCGACTAAGCCACCCAGGCACCCCTATCCTATTTTCCCATTAAAGGAACTGACAGCTTCTTGGAGAAATTCAGGACTGGAGAAAGTACAAAAAGACTGCAGAATACCTTATGTTGTCAGAAAGTAAAGAAAAAATGATGGGAACATATTTAAGGATACAAGAGACAACTTGAGGGAGGCTTCTAGTGACTGAATCTGGGACAATGTCGGCAACAAAAATTATGACCGTAATGGATTATAACCCATAGAATAAAATAAGAAACTATACTTCTGTAAATCAATAACTGAATAACTAAATGAAGAAGGGAAAGCTCTTCCTTATGTATAATTCCAAGTGATACTATTAGAAGAGAAGCTAGAAAATCCCCATTTGCAAAACACCGTAGTAGTAATTGTTTCTCTCAAGACTCATCAATGGATGCTAACATTAGTAGGTGAAAGTATGATGAGAAACAGGATAGTTATATACTCTCGAAGTAGCATGCAAATAATACTTCTTAATTCTAGAAAGGAAAAGAATAGAAATGTTACAATGGAGAAACCTGGTATACACCATCTGAACCATCACTAGCAACAGGACAGACTGATATCACGTGTCTCCTGATGTAATGCATTGAGAAGGATACATCATTTATGTGGCTTTAGTAGGGAAAAAATGCATAACCTAAGTTTAATTATGAGGAAACATCAGATAAACTCGAACTGAGAGACACCATAAAATAACTGGCCAATACTTTTCAAAATTTCCTGACTGACCATGATTGTGTGGTTTCAGACGATGTTAACGTTTAAGGAATCTGGGTCAAGAGTATACAGGAATTCTTTGTATTAGTTTTGCAACCTTTTTGTAAAACAAATTCTTTCAAGATGAAATTTATTTTAAAAAAATCAAAGATAGGGTTGTGATAGTTTTCCTAGGCCTCTCCATCCTCCCTCATTCTCAGAAAGGCCATTTATTAGTTACCTCCTCTGTCCAGAGATATCAGTGTATGGCTTCAGTAGAAGAGGGCCAAGTGCAAGGCTTAAAAGGAAGGAAACAGTTGGAGTCTGAAGCACAAGGTCCCTACTGTGTTGAATCCGTGTAGTAGAGGCTATTAAAGTGCCTCCCTCCCACCCCCTCTCCCTCTACCTCCATACTCCACTCCCCAGACTGCTTTTAATCCTATTGGGAGGATATACAGGGAGAAAGGAAGAAAAAATAATGAATGGCTGTATTCCTTGGCACATGAAGAACAGTTTCCCTTTCGGGGTTTCAAGAATAAAAAATGAGAGGCTTTAAATCTTGCTAACTTGTGCAAGAATGCGTGTGTGTGTGTGTGTGTGTGTGTGTGTGTGTGTGTGTGTGTGTGTAGGTAAAATGTAAACTACCACTGTGGAAAGGATAATGCTGATTTTCAAAATCTACCCAAGCAAAGGAAAGCGTCATTCCAGAATAAGGTATGTTAGAGGCCAGTGGGAAAAAAAGACAGCAGATGATTTTGTTTAGCGTGGGGTGAATTAGGAAATACCCTTTTCATAGCTAACTCTGAAGAGATGAGCTGTTGTTGCCAAGATGTGTTTATCAAATGTCAAATGTCTAGGCTATCTCACAGGATGTGAGAGTTGGTTTAGCTGCGTAAAATAGTTCTGTATTTTTATTTTAGCCAAGGTTCTCAGTCAGCTCCCTCCCCACCAAAGTGAAAAGGCGCAGCGGCAGCGAGGACAACAACAAAACCTGATTGAATGTTGGCAGGAAGCCTGTTGCAATCCAGCCTTGCTTTTTAAAAGGAATCTCTCTGATGCGTCTTGTCTCACCAGTGAGCAGCAGACTGCTTTTCTTAAGATAGATTGGAGTGAAAAAAAGAGTATTGCCATTGGTAATTCCTTCTACTTCAAAAAAACAAAAACAAAAAACAAAAACAGAAAATGAGTGGGCAGAACATCCATGCTGTTGTTGACTCCCTCCCGGGAGCAACAGGCTGTGGAAATGGTGCAAGGAAAAGCCACAGATAGAGCAGTAGGGTGTGAATTCAGACCACATGCCTCACTACTGATGCTGCTTTCTGGAGCGGTTTTGTTTTCGGTAAGCTGGCCTCCTTCCGGTTGATCGCTTGACATGCTGGGATTGCACCAGGTCGCCCCTCTGTGACTCAGACAGGGAAGAGGGCATCACCGAATTTACATTAAAAATAAGATACGTGTCTGGACACCCCACCCCCCACCCCGACACACACTTCATCAGCATCAAGTTGTGCCGTTCCCTCTGTAAGTGATGGGCACTGCTGGCAGTCGGTGTTGTTTTTGGCTTGAGGCCTTACAGACCAGCCAGCCATTGTGTAAGCACGGTCTGTCTGAATTGCTCTGGGGCTAACTGCCTTCTTAGAAGTTCTCTTGCTGCTCATTATTCTGCCGGCAAGACATTACCATTATTAATTTAAATTCCTCCATCTACGTTTTCTGTACTAGAAGATAATGATCTGTAGAGAATTTTAACTCTGTAAATCTTCAAGATTCTTTTGGTCTTCATTTCTGTAATTTGGGATTGGGGTTTTAAACCAGGGTAGGACTTGTAAATTTGCTAAATTTAAACCAGAATTTGGGGGTGGGGTTAATAACTAAACTATTCTGTTAATGCTGTTTTTAAGACTTCTGGTGTGTGTGCCTTTTTTTTTTTTTTTTTTTTGCTCATCATGTGGTCTATTCAAAAAAAAAAAAAAAAAAAAAACACTAAGTAGCTCTTGGCAGAAGGTCAAAACCAGCATTGCAGGGAAGGTATTTAAAAGTCTTTTAAGTGTGGCTATTTGTATAAGCAATAACTGAACATTTCTTATGACTAGGGAGGACTATTTTCACAGTCTTTCATGGAAATATTTCTAGATGATTTCTGTGGCTCTTTTCCTTGAGCTCATTTATTTGCTTTTGCTTCAGAACAGAGCATTTTAATGAGCAGTTTTATGAGCCTAACCTGCGTTCTGCAAGCTTTACATGACTGGATTCCTGTTACACATAACCTTTGCCCTATTTTCCATTAAAACACAAAACTTTCCTTTAATCAACTTCGTACTAAGACCTTGGAGGAAAAAATGCAACAGATAGTTTGGTTTACTATTCGGCCCACTAAAATTAATATGTTTTTTAAATACTTATTGTTTCCTTATAGTTCCAAAAATTACACATATTAATATTTTAACCACAAATTTCTTTATTTTCTAAGGTGCTTATTTCCTAAGCATGTTAGGTAAATAACTCAGTTAGCTGTCTTTAAAATCCGTTGAGGCAAGTGCAAAGACAAGATGAGCCCCAAATCATTCTGGAAATAGGAATTTTTAAGAAATGCATAGTTTTCTCAGTCCTACATATAACTGCCAGTGTCGGGAGCTTCCTTCTCATGGCAAAGCTGAACGACCATCTGATGCCGGTTCCTTCTCTTTGTGTTTTAACTCAAATGTAGAACAACTATTTTCCATTTTATACGTCATATCCTAGATCCGTTTGTATGGAACAGTTTTCTTTTCTCTAACCAGAAAAGTCCACATTTGTTGAATTTTTCTTTCTTTTCCAGTGATTTAATCAGTATTATTGATATCTGCTAAACATTCAAGTTCTCCCTTTCATTTGAGCAGTGGTGCCCCAAACAGGATGCAGAGCCCCTGGAAGGGTCTAGGGGGTTCTGAGAACAATGGAGCCATTGTTGTGTGGCACACTCAGCTCCCCTCTTGGTCACGCATTCCAGCCATGTTTGTCTTTTAAAACTATACTTCGGATTTAAGGTAGTCTGTGGTTCCTTATAACACCTAGCTCTTTTTCTGCCCTGCTTACTTCAGCCAATCTGTCCTCATCTTATAATCCTGTTTACTTTTTCTTTTTAGGACAAGGAGGGCACTCTTTAAAACACAGTGAAGTAAGTTTAGGGAAAATGAAAGGAAATCTACTTCACACAGCAGGTTATAAACTTATGGAGCTCTTTGGTCCCAAAAGGTGGTGCTGGCAGGAAATGTAAATGAATTCAAAAACCTCTTAGCCAAATTTATGAATGAGAGCCATAAATGGCTACTAAGAAAACCAGGGCTAAGCCTGATTTTTACAGTTGGAGTCAGAGAGGTGCTCCAAGGCCTCCCACAGGAGGTCTCTTGTGATCAGCTGAAATGACTGACCTTGGGTCTGGCCAAGATGAGATTTCCTGAGCATCCTGTGTCCTCTCGACACTTGTCTCTCCTCTGTCGCACTTGGCCTCAGAAAGACCCTGCAAGTCTGTTGTGGGTAGGCAACTTTCTTTTTGAAATAACTTTTTTTTTTTGTAAAGTTTCTTTTACCGTTCAACCATCTGCCTACCACAGTGCCAATTATGACTGTCAGGGAATAATGACGTCTGTCCAGTGGAAACTAGCTGAGATCACATTTGGATCCTAAAACATAGATACTTTCTTTTATGTAAAGTCAGATCCTTCTTTTTCCTGGGAATTTTCAGACCTGAGACCATAAATAGCATTTTTACTTCATCCTGTACTCTATCCTCAGTAGAACCTTCAGTCCCCTAACCCCTTCTGCTTTTCCCCATCTGTATCTCCTTACTGCAGGGTTGCTCACCTGGGGACACTTTTAAAAACACAGATGCTCCAGACCTCAGCCCAGATCAATTAAATCACAGTCTCTGTGGGCCGGGCCCAGGCATCAGTATCCTTCAAAATCATACCAGGCTATTCTTGGCAACCGAACTGAGAACCTGGCCTGACAGCTTGTGTTAGTTTCTTTCCTCAACCTGAACGCCGGCTCATCATCTCAGTGTCCTCTGAGGCATCATTGTGCCACACCCCCACTCTCCCATGTTAAATGTTTGTTACTGAATATGGTAACGCTCACTGCACCAGGCATTGTGGACTGGTCTTTATGCTGTCTTCTTTCTCTGTCCTTCCAACTATGAACTCCTAAAAGAAAATTTGCTGCAAAAACCTGGTCCTTGCAAATTTATGGTACCCAACATTTAAAGGAACTTTTCCTCCTCTTACCTCTTTTTGACTCACCTGGCACCTGCTCCAAATCCGATCTTCCCTTCACATCCATCCCTCACTTTCCTTCTAGGCAGGCATGTCGCCTCTTTCTCTGGGAGAGCACTGAGGTGAACCGGATGAAGCTGCCAATACCCTTCATTCTTCCCCATTCTCTTCTTGGCCTTCCCTTAAGCCTTCAAGAAGAAAGATGCCGCTTTCATTTATCGAGCACCGTAGAATAGTAACTGCAGTGCATTAAAATACAGTGGAAAAAGCCTAGTAGAAAGCAATCAATAATATTCATGGGGGAAAAATGTAAATTTTTAAGAAAAACATTTAAATAAGCTATGAATATGTAGGAAGGAGAGATCAATTTTAATTAATTTCTCTAGGGAAGGTTATATCACACAGGCGGTGACATATAGGCCAGACCTTGAATAATAGAAAGATTTTACCAGTCAGATTTTTAGGCAAAAGGGCATTCACATTCAAGGGGCAGCATGGCCAAAGGCGCCAGGTTGTGGTGTGCGTGGTTTGATCTGGAAATAGTGAATGGCTAGATATAGCTGGAATATGATATAGAAGGAAGATCTTTCTAAATATTCCTCCTTTACCAATACACTAAATCTCATTTGCTTTTGACACCACCTAAAATCTCATGTATACAACTGCCTTCTCTGGTATCTTTCACCTTTTGTCTACTGGCTCCCTTTTTTAACTTCATGTTAAACACATGTCTTTCCTCCCCTATAAGAAACATTTTGTGACCGGGTACCTGGATATATACATGCCATTTCTACCGTAGACCGTAATTGGCCTCCCTGCTTCCAGTCCTTCCCTCCTTACATAAATGTAGCCTGAAAACGGCTGCCATAGTAATCTTCCTAAAACACCATTTGATCATACCCTTTCTGGTGACATTGCATGCCCACCATGTCGCATCTCCTCTCTCTGGCCTAACTTGAACTCTCCACAACAGGCCACTCATTTCACAATTCAAATATGTCTCCTTCCACTCAACATGCTTTTACCATGCACTCCCAAATATTTCCCCAAATATATCAAGCTAATGTCTACCTCCATTCCTTTTGTTCCCCTTGCCTGCATGTCTTCTGGATGTCTACATGTCCCAATACAACCAGGCCAAGTCTCACATGCTTTCTCTCTGTCTGGCTCCTGAAAACTATAGAATAATCACTCTTTTCTTGGAAAACTGATTACACTAAGAGGCTTTATCATAGCACTTAGCATTTATTGCACGCTGTGATTAGGACACCTTGTGTCCTGCCTGTTAATCTGCTCCTCCCCAAATAGATGGTAAACTTCTTAAGAGAACAAATTGTGTTGTGTTCCTCCCTTTAACTTTCAGGGCACCTAGTACATTTCTCATCCTATGTTGTATGCTTAATATATAGCATAGATTAAGTGTAACAATTATCTATTTAATAAACCAGTTTAGACCAAGATAAATACTCTACAAAGAGGACAACAGGAAATAGTGTTTATGCTGTGTATAAGGGGCTCATTTTCTACTCTACAATATTAGTATCTAGTCTGCATATCAATTTTGAAGTAGCTGCCTCTCCCTAACTCAAAAAGAGTCACTTAAAAAGTAATAATTGAGTAGGGGTGCCTGAGTGGCTCAGTCAGTTAAGCGTCCGACTTCAGCTCAGGTCATCATCTCATGGCTCGTGAGTTCAAGCCCTGCATCAGGCTCTATGCTGACAGCTCAGAGCCTGGAGCCTGTTTCTGATTCGGTGTCTCCCTCTCTCTCTCTCCCCTCCCCCCACTCACACTCTGTCTCTCTCAAAAATAAACATTAAAAAAAACTTTTTAAAAAAGTAATAATTGAGTCTAGAGATCGAAGTACCACATTATAGGAAATACAGGCGGTAGAAGAACCCATGAAGTGATATCCAGGTGGATTAAATATGTCAAATCCAAACCGGAAAGTTGGGTGGAATCTACAGGACAAATGACCTACTCCCACTCCCCCCGCCTTTTAGAACAAAAACAATAGATTTCAAGGCAAAAAGAAAGAGAATGAGTTAGAGGAGAAGCCTATAGATTAAAATAAACCTAAGAAATGTATCTACCCCTCATAGTATATGGACTTATTTGGATTCCAGTTCCAACACATAAACTTTAAATCAGTTTTTTCAAAGACAGTTGGGGAAGTATACTGTGAACACTGGCCCTTGAACAAAGTGGGGTTTAGGGGAACCATGCACCCTGTGCAGTATAACTCTCGACTCCTTAGAAACTTAACTACTAATAACCTGTTGAGTAGAAGCCTTACCATTAGTATAAACCATCAATTAACACATATTTTGTATGTTCTGTGTATTATATACTTTATTCTTACAACAAAGTAAGGTAGAGAAAAGAAAATATTTTTTTTTAATTTTTTTTAAAGTTTATTTATTTTTGAGACAGAGAGAGACAGAGCATGAACGGGGGAGGGTCAGAGAGAGAGGGAGACACAGAATGTGAAACAGGCTCCAGGCTCTGAGCAGTCAGCACAGAGCCCAATGTGGGGCTCGAACTCACGGACCATGAGATCGTGACCTGAGCCGACGTCGGCTGCTTAACCGACTGAGCCACCCAGGCGCCCCAAGAAAATATTATTTATAAGGAAGAGAAAATACATTTACAGTATTCTATACTGTGTTTATAAAAAAAATGTGTATAAATGGACCCACATGATTCAAACCAGTGTTGTTCAAGGGTCAACTATGTTCGTAAGGTTAAGAAATGATTAATATTTTTCGGTGTGATAATAGTATTGTGGTTATGTTTTCTAAGGGTCCATTTCTTTTAGGAATGCATACTGAAATATTTACAGATAAAATGACACGATGTTGGAGTTTACCTCAGAGTAGTTGGGGAATATAGAGGGAGCAAGGACAGCCATGTGGCGCATTGTTGAAGCTGAGTAATGAGCACCAAGAGGTCAATTTCTGTTATTCTCTTTACTCTCTCTACTTTTACATATATTTAAATTTTCCCAAATGAAAGGCTTAAAAAGTAGTCACTGATGTTAAATGATTCTTGTTAAATATTTTTTGTGTGGCAATGGTATTAAGGTTGTTTTTTGAAAAGGAGTCCTTATCTTTTAGAAATACCAACAGAAGCCTGCCCAGGTGGTTCAGTCAGTTAAGCGTCCAACTTTGGCTCAGGTCATGATCTCATGGTTCATGAGTTCAAGCCCGTGTCGGGCTCTATGCTGACAGCTCAGAACCTGGAGCCTGCTTCGGATTCTGTGTCTCCTCCTCTCTCTGCTCCTCCCCCACTCATGCTCTATCTCTCTCTCTGCTTCTCAATAATAAATAAACATTTTAAAAAATTTTTAATTGTTTTAATAAAAATGAATTTTAAAAATACTAACTGAAATATCAATGTGTGAAATGATAGAAATATATTTATAAGTTACTATGGTTTTTAAAAAATATAGTAAACAAAAACACAAAATGTTTACATTGTCATTGAAAAAATTTTATTTATTTATTTATTTATTTATTTAAAAAAAAATTTTTTTTTAACGTTTATTTATTTTTGGGACAGGGAGAGACAGAGCATGAATGGGGGAGGGTCAGAGAGAGAGGGAGACAGAGAATCGGAAACAGGCTCCAGGCTCTGAGCCATCAGCCCAGAGCCTGACGCGGGGCTCGAACTCACGGACCGCAAGATCGTGACCTGGCTGAAGTCGGACGCTTAACCGACTGCGCCACCCAGGCGCCCCGTTTATTTATTTTAATTTTATAATGTTTATTTATTTTTGAGAGAGAGAGACAGAGCATGAGTGGAGGAGGAGCAGAGAGAGAGGGAGACACAGAATCCGAAGCAGGCTGCAGGCTCTGAACTGTCAGTACAGAGCCTGACGAGGGGCTTGAACCCATGAACTGTGAGATCATGACCTGAGTCAAAGTCAGATGCTTAACCGATTGAGCCACCCAGGCGCCCCTTGAAAAGATGTCTTATCCCCAGGAACACATCCCTAAACCCCAAAAGTCAAGAAACAATAATCCTTTAGGTTATATAAGGCCTGTCCTGTTTTTACCTAAAGATTACCCATTTCCAAATAAAACTATGAGTTATGCATCCTGTAGATGAGTACATACAGAAGAGTAAAAACAACCAAACACTGGGCTGTGAGTACTCATAGTCCTTAAAGGTACAGGATTTGTCACAAGAGTAGTGGCTTTCAAAACCATTTGTTTTTTTTTCCAGTTAAAAGCAGCCCTCAATGGCTGTGCATTGAGACATGCGTAAACAGTCCTACGGTTTTTAAAACCTTCAAGCTTTCCCCAATACCAGTTCATCCTTAGCCCTCTGACAAACTTTTCAATGAACCATGCATTATTAGCAAACTTATCTGATTTGGAGAAGAAGGAGATCTTGTCTTTGTGATTAAGATACTCATGAGCAACAAAATGATCATTAAGCTAATATCAGATCCCAGCTGAAGGTCTGGAAAATCTGTAAGTTAGAAGAATCGTTTGTGCAGGGAGAAGAATGACGTGTGCTACCAACACCATCATCATTTCAGGTGGATTCCTGTAGAGCATATAACTCTATCTTCTTGTCATCCTAAAGTCATAAATGTTCACTGAAGTTTGTCCTTATACTGATAATATCTCAGTCAAAATTAAAATTCGCTGTACAACCTATTAATGAGATCATTTTATGGTCCCTCAATATCTCATTTGATGCCAAGACCAAAGGAAAATACAAATCTGAACACTTACCTAGGAAACATAGGATTTATCAGGTAGCCATTCTGAGAATATGAATCTAATGTAAACATTTTTAAATTTTTTTTTTCAACGTTTATTTATTTTTGGGACAGAGAGAGACAGAGCATGAATGGGGGAGGGGCAGAGAGAGAGGGAGACACAGAATCAGAAACAGGCTCCAGGCTCTGAGCCATCAGCCCAGAGCCCGACGCGGGGCTCGAACTCACGGACCGCGAGATCGTGACCTGGCTGAAGTCAGACGCTTAACCGACTGCGCCACCCAGGCGCCCCTAAACATTTTTATCAGAATGAATCAGCAATATTGTTTTAGCAGTGGAATTGGAACTTAAGAATAAGATTGTTAAGTAATCATTCATAAAGTTTTTAAAAATAAACATGTATTTTTTTAGAACTTAAAAAACCATTTTATATAAAAGATATAATATCATGTTGCTACTCCATACTTACACTGTCCAGGGCAATAGCCACTAGATGCAGATGGTTACTAAACCCTTGAAGCATGGATGCTCCATGTTGAGATATGCTTTAAGTACCTATTTGATTTCAATACTCTGTACCAAAAAAAAAAAAAAAAGATGTATCACATCAGTGACTTTTATATTAATTATATATTGCATTTGTGTGCTAGAGCTGCTGTAACAAAATACCACAAAGTGGCTTCAACAACAGAATTTTATTTTCTCACAATTCTGGAAGCTAGAAACCTGATATCAAAGCAAAATATCAGCAGGGATGGTTTCATCTGAGGCTTCCATCCTTGGTTTGTAGATGGCTAACTTCTTTCTGTGTCATCACATGGCCTTCCCTCTGTGTACGCCTGTGTCCAAATAAGGACACCAGTCATAGTGGATTATGGCCTACCTTACTGGTCTCATTTTAATTTAATTACCTCTTAAAAGATCATATTTCATAATATAGTCCCATTCTGAGGGACTCGGAGTTAGGATTCCAACAAATTTGGGGTGGATACAACTCAGCCCTTAAATATGTCAAAAAGGGGCACCTGGGTGTCTCCGTTGGTTAAGTGTCCAACGTCAGCTCAGATCATGATCTTGCGGTTTGTGTGTTCGAGCCCCATGTCAAGCTCTGTGCTGACAGCTTGGAACCTGGAACCTGCTTCAGATTCTGTGTCTCCCTCTCTCTCTGCCCCTTCCCCTGCTCGTGCTTTGTCTATGTGTTTCTCTCTCTCAAAGGTAAATGAATATTTAAAAAAATAAACATTATAAAAATGCATTTCACTTGCTTGTTTTACTTTTTTTTAACACGGCTACAGAAATGTGACTTGCGCTTTATTTCTACTGGACAGTGCTGTATTTTATCTCTTTGGATGCTAAAACACTATCATTACCTGTTGGAGGAGTAAGAAAAAGTTCTAATTTTTAAAAATGTCTCACTTTCTCTTTAATTTCACTTTTAGTACTCAGTTTCACTGAGAAATTGTTAATGAGCAAAAGCAGTGAGGCAGTGTATAAAGAGCAGGAAATGTACACAGGGGACATTTCAGTCTTACTATCTGTTTCAGTCTTACTATCTTTATTATCTTTAGGCACATCGTTTCCCCTCTCTGTATTTTCATTACTTCTTCCTAAAGAAAAATAATAGTAATGGCTGACATTTATTGAGTGTTTATTATGTGCCAGGCACTCTTCTGAATTTCTACACTGGCAATTTATTTAATCCACTCAATACTCCTTGAGAGGAAATAATTATAATAGGTACAATTATTACTCTATCTGACAGAAAACTGAAGTACACAGAGATTAATCAACCTACCCAAGTTCCCAGGGTTAACAAGTGATGGAACCGAGTGGTCTCTGTCACATCCTTTATTCCCTCATATGCTTCTATTTCTGTAAGATTCTTTTGAGGACCAGTTGAGATGGTGTGTGCGAGCACATTTAAAAATTATTGGCGATTAATTGTTTTGCCTTTTCATAGAAATATTACAGAAAAAGCTATTGTTTTTCTCTTTTGACTAGCAGATCTACTTATCTTCTTTGACTGCCTGATAATTTTAGAGCTAAAAGAAGTGACTGTGTCTGTGTTTTTGACACATTATTGAATCACAGAATCTTTGGAAGGATTCTCAGAAGTCATCCATTCTAGCTCACCTTGCTCATTGTAGCTCTGGTTTTTTCTAGCATGCCCAGAAGAGTTTGCTTGAATTCTTGTAGTTAATAGGTGCTCCCCAGTCACATAACATTTCTGAATGGCTCTGACTGCTTATATTAAGCTTACGTGCACCTTTCTTTCCTTATGGTCACAGAATGTTAGAGCTGAAAGGGCTTCCAGAGAGGAAGTCAGTGATTCTCATACTCAGGTAGGCAGTGAAGGACCTGGCGCATTTAGTCTAATAAGCCGACAAATATTTATTGGTAAGATTGTAGCCCAGTTTCTCTCTCTGTTTTAGAAAACACTCTCAAAGAAAGAGTTTGCAGGGCAATTTTTGAATTTTTAAAAAAATTTTTATGTTTATTGATTGTGAGAGAGAGAGAGAGAGAGAGAGCACGAGCAGGGGTGGGGCAGAGAGAAAGGGAGAGAGAGAAAGAATCCCAAGCAGGTCTCACACTGCCAGCACAGAGTCCAATGTGGGGCTCAATCTCATGAACCGTGAGATCATGACCTGAGCCAAAATCAAGAGTCAGACATTCAACCAACTGAGCCACCCAGGCACCCCTGCATTTTTTTTAACCAAGCTCATATTTATGAATTTTGTAACCTCATGTAAGTCATTTATGTCATTTACATCAATTATCTCAAGTTACACATTTAATTTCTGTTGAGTACTTAACTGTATGTCAGGCACCATGCTTAAGTACCTGTTCTATGTTACCTTATTTGGTCTCTACACCTGCTCTGCCCTATAAAATGTGTTTGATGCTAATATTACCCCCTTTCATGGAACAGAAATTAAGGTCTAGAGAGGATGACTAACTTCTTAACTTTAATTTTACCGAAGTCACAAAGCTAATTAGTGACAAAATCAAGATATGAATATAGGGCATCTGATTCCATAGTTCATAGTCTTAATTGCAATTCTAAATCATTGCTCAAACGGAAGTGGTTTGGAAACTTGGGGTAATCTACTAGAGTCAGGTACATTTTTTTAAACTTGTATTTGAGGAATGCTACAAACGTGTGTTTGATCCAGATATTTTTCTTGTGGTTCCTTTGATTTGGGAGTTCTATAGACTTGGTAGAATGTGTTACTTACAGTCATATGGAAACTATGGTTAAATCAGAAAAAAGTTTTGTTGAAATGGCAGGAATTATTATTCAGAATTATTTCATTTATTTTAATGCCCTTTAAATCTTAATCACACATATCATCTTGATGTTGTGTAAAGCTATCTTTAGATGCTACCTTAAGCCATATGCATTCAGTTTTTAGCTCTCCAAAAATTGGTATCATGCCTTTTCCATTTTATACATATTCCCAGATATTTTATAAGCAATTATGGAATATTGCTAGAAATTGTATTGAATCAGATGGATAATGTTGCCACATCTCTTTTTGATGCCTTTGGCCACCAGTGTAGTATGAAATTTCATGATGATAATTTCAAAGAGGTTTTACTCTTTAATTCAGAAATCATTATACCTATTTTAATTTGAAAGAATTTCTGTGGATTGAGTAGACATAAACAATTGCCAGGGGCAATATTATAGTCCTCACTAATAATAACATTTCTAGGAATTTTGAAGCCATGGTTAGGAAAAAAAAAATTGGGGGGAAATTGGGAATACATGCAGTAATATGTTTTCTTAACAATATTTACATATTCAATCTAAAGTTACCTTGTTATTCTATACAGGAACATCTTGATCTCGTCATAAAAAGCATTATTTGAAATTATAATCTCATCAGTGTTTAGTAGTGGTTATAATCCGATTTCTGCATCTAAACTACTTTAAAAACAGTCTAGAGGAAGAAAGTTTTTAAGAAACCACGTCTACTTTTTCTCTTATACCTCGAGTCATATTTACAAATTTTATTAACACAGCCCTCAGTACAGTCTTATGTATATAAATTTTAAAATACTACAGATTTTCTTCTAATAATAATTGCACCTACCAAGGTTACCTTAGAGTACTTTTGATTTCTATTATAAATGCTGCCATAAGTTGCTGGTCTTTAAGCAATCTTGCCTTTGTTAATTTTTACCACGTTGTGAGAAGTGGGCATAATTTGAAGCAATATATATTTGTTTTCTATATATTACATCCTCCATATTGTTAAACAGGCAATACACACACACACACATACACACCCCACATACATACACACACAATTTCAAGAAAAGGATAGAAAGAAGTAAAAAAATAAACTCCAGACCCAATGGTTATTACTTCCAGCATGTAGATCTCTGTCCTATCAATCTTATTTTCAAAACTCATCTTCAGTATATTTTGATCTTACCATCTTCATGAATTTCTATTTTATGCAAACTAAAAGTTTGCCTACAGTGAAACAAATTCCTTTACATTTTAGTTTCTCTCTTAATTGGGAATGAGTGTTATGAAGACAGAAATTCTATTTCTGGCAGCTTTGGAAGTACATTTCCAGCTCTGGGGCATATCCATGCTGGCTGTTTGGTGACCCAGAACAGATGTGGTCCAGTGCTATCACCAGAAATATTCTCTCTTTGAATATTAGAAATAAGAGGTTGAATATTCTAAACAAGAGGTTTAGGAACAACAGCTCAACCTGGCAAATTTGTTCTGATTTTACATTAATCTTCCTTATTAACAGAAATGAACCTAAATTTTCTAAAACAGTTTTTATATTTTTTATCTGGATCATCTGGTAAGGCCATTGGGCCCTGGAAAGCCTGACAAAGGTGTACTCACTAATTCATGTATAGGGATGGCTGAAGAAGTTATTTTGAGAATTACTTGGGAAATTCTGCAGTTGAATCCAGATGACAGCTTTGTCAACTACAGTGCTCTGAGGACCTTGGAAAAATTAAAACCCTTGAATATAGCCGCTTATTTAAAAGCTTCCTTTTGTTTCTCTACTCATGAAACAAGTAATGATTCTACCCACAGAGTTTTACCCTTGTGTGTTTTTAAGCCATTGCATTCTTTTGTTTTTTTACTAAGAAGTTTTGGCATGCAAAGCAAGTGATACTGTATTTGCACTGAACTTTGAAGGATTATCTACCTCAAGAGCCTTTCATTTTTGTTAGGGAAATGGACCTGTGTACACCTAATTACGATGCAAGACAAAGGAAACGTTCAGATGCAGGAAGAACAGGGGCTGTATTTTAGCTGCGGCATCCAAAGTTGTGCTCCATGCGCTAAACCAGGAAGGACGAACAGATGGAGTTGGAAAAAACAGTTTTCGGTTGCAAGAACGTCCTGAATAAATGATTTATTCATTTGAGCTCTTTAGGATAGCGGCAACAGAAATTAAATTCAAGCCAACCCAACTTTTAGAAATAACGGAAAACAGTTTACTGGCTGGTGTAACTGCACAAGCCAGAGGCAGAGACGTCTGCACAGCCAGATGCACGCGCTCGAATGACGTCTTCAGATAGCTGCCTCTCTCCATCTCTCAACTGTGCTGTTCTCTTTGGTGACTTCATTGGCACACAGGTTTGACTCCTCTTCATTTTGAGGCAAGCCTGCACTCAGGCCTACTTACAAAGTTTTCATTCCTAAATGAAAGGAAGCTTCTCCTTCCTAAGAGTTCTGACAAATGTGCTGTGATTGGCTTTGCTTGGTCACGTGCCATCTGTGTCATCACAGAGATTAGCCTGGGTGGGTGGATAGAGCAGCCTGATCTCTGAAGCTCCATCTAACCAACAGGACTGAGAGTGGGGGAGAGGAGGCTGTCTAAATGTATCTTCCCCCTACCCACAGGGGAAGCATAGCAAGACCTTGTGATAGAATAAGGAGAGTAAAGATGGATTCTTTTTTGACTCACCTCTCTCTCCTTTAGAGAATGCTGTGAAGTAAAGGTAAATAATTAGAGTAGGACCAGTGTTACTCTCCATCACAGCCCTTCCTGATCCTCTGCTTCTGTGAACTCTTACAGCACCTGTGAACTCCACTAAGCAATGTAACATTGAATCACATACTGCTTTATGATCTATAGAGGGGCTGTGTATTTATTAGTCAGGCTTCTCCAGAAAAGCACAATCAATAGGGTGTGTGTGTGTGTGTGTGTGTGTGTGTGTGTGTGTGTGTCTGTGTGTGTGTGTGTGTCTGCGTGTATAGACAGATACATAGATAACATAGATAATGATTTTTTATATGTAATTGCCTCACATAATAATGGAGGTTGGCAAGTCCAAAATCTGCAGGTGGGCTGATAGGCTGCAGACCCAGGAGAGCTGAACATTCCAGTTTAAGTCCAAAGGCAGTCTTCTGTAGAATAGGAAAGAGCCACATTGCAAATGAAGTCCAAAAGCAGTCCGAAAGAGAATTCTCTCTTGCTGGGGAGAGCCAGTCTTCTTGTTCTTCAAGCCTTCACCTGATTGGATAAGGCCCACCCACACTATGGACAGCAATCTGCTTTACTCAAAGCCCACCAATTTAAGTATTAATCTCATCCAAATATACTCTCACAGAAATACCTAGAACAATGTTTGTACCAAATATCTCGGTACTCTATGGCCCAGTCAAGTTGACACATAAAATTAACCATCGCAAGTTGTTTTTATATTTATCCTTATTTTATTTGATCCTATTTTCTGGAAATTTTTTCTCTGGAAATATTCTATTGCTTGTTTTGCTACTGCAAAGAAATGTTGTGATTTTTTTCCCACTAAAAAGGACATTTGTATCAGTTGATTCTAATTATAGTTCTTTTTAGAAAAGGGGTTTTCTTTTTATTTTAATTAACAAAGTTAAATTTTAAACAAATATTTTTGCCAGTAGTCAATACTTGCAAAATAATTTTGGCCCTTTCAAAATTACTAATATTATCTGAAACCAAAAACTGTGGTGAGGCAAGTGGTTATTTTTAAAGAAACCCATTTAATTGTTCTGCTTAGCCCATCTATTGTTTAGACAAAAGGTTGTTATGCACAACTCAGTATACAAAGATGAAAATTTTTCTTTTTAAAATTTTTTTTAACGTTTATTTATTTTTGAGACAGAGAGAGACAGAGCATGAACGGGGGAGGGTCAGAGAGAGGGAGACACAGAATCTGAAACAGGCTCCAGGCTCTGAGCTGTCAGCACAGAGCCCGACGCGGGGCTCGAACTCACGGACCGCGAGATCATGACCTGAGCCGACGTCGGCTGCTTAACCGACTGAGCCACCCAGGCGCCCCAAGATGGAAATTTTTCAAAAATAAACATTCATAAATCTAGAGAAAATTCTCAGTTAAGATTGTTTAAATAGCAATATTCAATAATGTGTTTAAAATATATGAATATTTAATATTCGTGAACTTATCTGCTAGCAGGCAGTACAGGCCTTTAGATAGATTACAAACTAGATTGGAGTTACTATAACTTCTAGGAGGACATCAGGACAGAGTACATAAGTTTTCAGATTT